GGTACGTTTTAACAGTAAGATGCACACACAACACTGCATGTGGTCATGTTAACAGTAAGTCGCACACACAAGAAACAGGCGGTCAAAAGCACAGTTAGTCATGAACGCCATCTGAAGCTGGGCACTAACTGAGATGTACACGTATATGTACACACATGCATTTTTAAAGCCTCCCCGTTCCCCACTCAGTATGCACTATTACCACCTAGTTTTCCTGAGTATCTTGCCAGTGTCACAAAGCATGAAAGTGACAGGAACTGGCATTAACGTCAAGTAAATGCTAGTTGGGCCACTGCCTCGGATACTGATTCACAGCTAAGCAAACCCAGGTTCATCCTATACGACCTATCCCAGTGAGGTTCCCACCTCCCCGGGGCCTGGGCACCTGAGGCCAGTCTCTACCTGTAAAGTGAAGAATCTCGGTCCACTGTTTGCAGATGTAGATCTGGACATCTGTGCCCCCAAGGGCCAGGTAGGTACCGCTCTGGTCAAAGATCAGTGACTTCACCTACAGAAGCAGAGGACAGGTCATATCTGGGGCGCCCAGGGGGTAAGCAGAAGCCACTCAGACTAAGCCAGGCAGCCACACCTCAAAGTTGTTGTCCAGCTGCAACGTCTTGAAGTTCTTAAGTTTGCGCAGATCCCAGAGCTTGACGGAAGAGTCATCGGCTGCTGTCGCCAGATAATAGCCATTCTCCGAGAAGGCAATGCTAGTGATGGGGCCCGAGTGCCCAGGGAAGTTAGCCACGTTGGTGCGCTCCTACAGTGGGGGTAGAGGGTAAAGTATGACCCCAGTGGCCAAAGGAGGAAGAAAGAAATGGGGGCTCACCCTGGAGACGTTCTCGTGGGGAAGAACAAGCAGCAGGAGCAGTATGGCGGATGGCCAGGCCCAGGGCCCCCCCAGGACTTGAACCACCACATCACACCGTAGAGCCAGTGCCCCCACCCGCCCTGCCCCAGGGCACCCCCAGGACCAGGTGCCAGGGCACCTGATCAGCAGCGCTTATCTGGAAGAGCTCCAACCCCAGGCCTCAGATGGAGTCTGCCATGTCTTACCTTCAAGTCCCAAATCTTGATCTGAGAATCCATGGTTCCTGTTCCAAAGATGAGTCCATCGGGGTGGAACTGTGCACAGGTAAGAGCTGCAGAGGAGGGGACAGACAAGCAGGGGGTCAGAGCAGCAAAGGTAGCTCCCCAGTTCTTTATACATCCTCGCGGGGCTCAGCCCAACACCTGGCACTTCACAGGTGCTGGTGGGAAAATGGATGTTTAGAAGAACAAATGAGTGCAGTTCAGTGAAATATAAGGATAAACAGTAACCCGTGGGTGAGCAAAAAGAGCCAATTGCTTCTGGGGAGACTTACAGCAGCCGGAGGTCTCATCTGTCACCTTGGTGAGCACACGCCCTGTCTGGATGTCAGAGAAGGCCCAGTACTGAAAAGCAGAGACAATGGAGCCAGTGAGGAAGCAGGTTCCCAGGCTGTGGCTATGCCTGCAGGGGAGGCAGAGAGCCTGGCAAACCCTGGCAAAGCTGGCTCCTCCCAGGTTTGGGAATCGGCTGAGTTGGTAAGATGCTCCCTTCTCCCTGGCTGGGCTCACACCTGGTCATCGGAAGAGCTCAGAAGATAGTCACCAGTGGCGTGGAGGCTGAGGCCTGTCACTGCGCTCTCATGGGCCCGAACCACCTGGACACAAGAGGTGTTCGGAACGGACCAAATCCTGATGGTGGCATCTGGGGAGGCAGAAAACACCAGGTCCTGGAAGGAGAGCAGAGAGGCAGAGGAGAGATGAGCCATGACAACCTTCCAACAGGGGCTGGAGATGGTCATAACTACCAGCTGTCCACCCAGCCTGGAACGACCCACCAAATGTCCATCACTCCTTATCTGGGAGGCGTCGCCATCTAGTGGCAAAAAAGACAACTGCAACAGAACCACCCTGCACCGTCTGTTTCCAGGACCAAAGTGAGGACAGTGGTTGCTGCCAAGTACTTGAGTCAGTTACAACTCATGGTGACCCTGTATAGGGTTATCTGAGATTATAAATCTTTGTGGGAGCAGAAAGCCTCACCTTTCTCCCATGGAGAAGGTAGCTGGCTTGAACCACTGACTTTGTAGTTCACAGACCAATGCTAATCCTATAGAGCCATCAGATCATTCCCAGAAAATGGCTGTTATTGTTGTTAAGTGCCATCAAGTTGGTTCTGACCCATAGCGACCCTGAATTGGATTTCTGAGGAGTGGCTGGTAAGCTTAAACCACCAACCTTGCAGTTCAAACTGACTTTGACATCTCACGCATTAACCCACACTGCCAGACCAAGATCCCAGAAGATGGCTTGGTTGTCATGTGCCATGGAGTCGGTTCCGACTCACAGCGACCCTGCATAGGGTTTCCAAGGTTATAAATCTTGCCAGGAGCAGAAAGCCTCATCTTTCTCCCGAGAAACTGCTGGTAGTTTCAAACTGCTAACCATGAGAGTAGCAGCCTGACTCCTAACCACAGCGCTCCTTAGAAGGTGGCTAGGCACTGAATTTTAAATATCATTTTATTTACTAGTCACATGTAAGCTAAGTGGTTAAAGTGCTTGGCTGCAACTGAAAAGCCAGCAGTTTGAACCCACCAGCTGCTCAGCAGCAGAAAGATGTGGCTGTCCGCTTCTATACAGATTCACAGCCTCAGAAACTCCACAGGGCAGCTCTACTCTACTGTAGCCTGCAGAGCTGCTGAGTTGGAATCAACTGGACAGCAAGAGTTCTTTTAATCAGATCTAATACGTTGCCTCTGCCCTTTCAATTGGTGGTTCTCAGCCTGCTTTAACCCACAGCCTTACAGAGTCTACAGTAAGCTTTTGCCTCCCATCTGAAGGATCAGGTAACAAGGACTTACCTGTCTTCTCCAGCTATCTGTGAGTTGGGACTCTGTGGAACTTTGTTTCCTGCAGTTGGTATTATGAACACTACAAATCTTCCCTCTTAGCTAATATACCTCACTGAATACGCTTTTTCAATTGACCCTTCCTTCCTCCCTCTGGTTTGAAGACCGATGCTTTAGGCGGGCTAATTAACCAGCAAGCTCCAGAACCCCACAGAGGCCACGCGGTGCCAACACTGCACAGCGGCAGCCGGAGAGTGAATGGGGCTGTGGAGGGAGTGGCCGACGTTACCTGGGAAGGGTGAAACACCACACTGGTGACTTTCTTGGTATGGCCTTTGAGGGTGGCCAGGATTTGCTCAGAACTCTTATCGAAGACGACAACATTTTTATCCGCCCCGCCTAGAAGGGACCCAAAGGAGACACAAAATGGTCAGGCCCCTGGCTGTCCCCACCCCTGCCCCCTTGCTGGGCCAGGTTCAGGTTCTCACCTGTGAGGATCTTGTTGGTGTCGGAGGGGCAGAGGTCCAGGGCCAGGATCCCAGGAACGCTGGCACTGTGCAGCCCCTTCAAGAGAGAGAAAGCCAAAACCAAGCCTGGTCATGGCCAGAAGCCACGCAGCTCCTGATCCCACGCCCCCAGCCTTCTGCACCTTGGCCATCCTGCTGGGCACTCTGCCTGGATGCAGACCTCCCTCACGGAGTTTCTGGGAAGCCCAGAACCAGACACGAAGCAAAACCCTGACGACTCCACATCCAAGGCTAGAGACAGGGCCAAGGCCCCAGACAGCTCTCCCCCCGCTGTTCTTCTCTACGCGGGAAACTCCATGGGGAGGGGGAGGGTAGCCACTCACCACGTGGGATGCCACCTGCCGGTATTTGCTGAGCTCCTCAGGCTTCACCAGTTCCTCAGGCACAGTCTTCCCTCTCTGAGGAAATGAAAACCGAGGCAGTAAGTGCACGTTTCAGCCAGTCCCTTCCCCGAGAGGTTACAACCACCTCCCAGCAAGCCAGCTCTCTCCTGAGGCTGGGAGAGGACTCACCTTCTTACGCTCCGTGGTGAGCACAGTGGCCTTGTCTTGAAGCTGGGGTGGAGAGAGGGGGACAGGCTCAGAATGAGACACAGGAACTTGCCAGACAGTGGCCCCTCGATGCCTTCAAAAGCACAGCCAAGACATGTGACCTGACATGTTCTGTGCTCACACGCATGATCTCTTTTTACTTCCGCCCCAACCTTACGAGGTGGGTATTGAGAATTTAGCTTCAGAGAAGTCACTTGCCCTAAGTCACACAGGTGACAAAGGACACAGAGAGGACATAACCCAGCAACAGAGCTCCCAGCCCAGGCCTCTGCTTGGAAGGCACTCGCGCCCCATGAATGAGGCCTCGTGAGTGTAAACACCCCGGACCTGAGTCTGCAGCCCAATCCGAGTCTCCAGTTCATCAGTAAAAGAGCGATGACAGTCCGTGTCCTGTCTCTCTGAGACACAGACAGAACCAGTACACGTTGCTGTTGAATGGATTCCGACTCATCGCCACCCTCTCAGACAGTCAAACGTCCCAGAGGATTTCCAAGGCTCTCACAAGACCACCACAACTTTCTCCCAAGAAGCAGGTGGAGGGTTCAAACTAGTGACCCTTTGTTTTGCAGCTGTGTGCTTAACCACTGCACCCCCAAGGGCTCCTGTATGAGGGGACTTCGAAAGTTCAGGGGAAAATGGAAGGAAAAGCGAGTGGGATTGCCCCACCACCTTTTGGAAGCCCCTCCACACATGTAAGAAAGGGCTTCAACAGCTGCAGAGCACTCCGTAACAAGGTCTGAGCGCCACACTAGCAGGAGTAGGAAGTAGGCTGCAGGCTTCTCATTTCCAAGGTCAGGAAAGAGACCCAGAAGGGCTGGCGATATCAGCCCAGGCTTACAGAGCTTTAAGTGGACTTACATGGACGGTTCCATCAAGTCAGAGCACAACTCACCTTCTGAATAATTTCAGGGGTCATTCCCACCAGCTCGCCCAGATCCATTGGCTCACCCGCACCCTGAAGAGAGGAAAGGTGAAGGTGAAAAAGGCCAACGAGAGCTCCCTGGGCCACTGGATCAAACAGGCTGTTGACAAGGTGGGGTGTCACTCACCACGACACTGGGCTGTGAGCTGGGCACGGCCTGGGGCACGATGAGACCCGCCTGCGGCTTCAGGGTGGCCAGAGCTGAGGGAGAAGGGAGGGAGGGTCAGCAATAAGCCATGACACTGTGGGACAGCAGGGGGGGGGGGGGGGGGGGGGGGGAGTGCACCTTCTCGGGCAGCAGTGACTTCCTTGGTGAGACGGGCAATGACACGGCAGGCGGCGTCGTGCTGGTACAGAGCGTGGGACAGCTCCTGGCGGGTGGTCTGCAGCTGTTGGCGCAGAGTGAAGCTGTGCAGCATGACTGCGTCCTGGGGGACAGAGGCAGCACTGTGAGGGCAGGGAGCCTGCCGAAGGGGGAGCCAGCACTCCTCCACCTCCAACATCTCGAACTGAACAGCAAACCACAGACGCCCGCCGTCCCGTCACTCCTAAGGAGCACCAGGCGCGGCCATGACTGTGGCCCTCATTGTCAGGCACTGTGTCACAGCCCCTCACGGTCCATAGCACCTACTGGGTGCTGCCCTGGGTGCTGGGGATCCACCTCCAACATCTCGAACTTAACAGCAAACCACAGACGCCCGCCGTCCCGTCACTCCTAAGGAGCACCAGGCGCGGCCATGACTGTGGCCCTCATTGTCAGGCACTGTGTCACAGCCCCTCACGGTCCATAGCACCTACTGGGTGCTGCCCTGGGTGCTGGGGATACACCGAGGAGTACAACACGTTCCTGACATCACATTCTAACCCTCAAAAATCCCTGAGAGGTAAATAACTAAAATCCCCACTGTACCATCAGGAAAACAGGAGAGCCCAAGCACCTTGCACCACGTAACACGGCTATTAAGTGATGATGCTAAGTTTGAAGACCAAGTCTGTGTAACTTCAACACCCAAGTTCCTCCTCCCTTATCATTCTGGCCCCTCAGTCTCCCCACTTCCTAGGCCTGCTCCAGGGATTCATCTCTTCAAGTGGGAAAGATGTTGGCTCCCTTGGGGGGACTTACCCACTCATCCTGCAGGGCTTTCAGAATGGCTGGGATGCTAGTTGCCGAGGGAGGTTTGGGCCGGATCGGGTGAGCAACTGCCAAAAGGGAAAGTGGTATGAAGAACCACAGGCCAGTGGTCTTCTCCCGCCCCCTCCTCCTTTTCCCTGAGCCCCTATTAGCAGACGGCCCTCTCCTCTTCCAATGTGCTGGCCAGGCTCTGAACTGAGACGACCCTGGCCGGAAGCCAGCCAGTGCGCACCCTTGATGTCGATCAGCTGTTCCTCAGACAGAGGCTGGTTGTTGATGGGATCTGTGCCATTCTCTGCAATGTATTTCTCAATGAGCCGCCGCTCGTAGACGTGATTGGAGACAGGGGACACACATGGGTGCTCAGGTACTTCATTGGAAACTGCAGGGGAAAGGCAGGCAGTGAGCATGGGGACAAAGGGAACCTTGGACTAAAGTAATCCCTCACCACTACTAGCCCCAACAAGACATGTCCTCACACTGAAGCCGAGCCAGTCTGTTACTGTCCCAGAATGCTCTCCAGCAATAGTTTCCAGACAGTCAGATGTTGTGGTTAGGTGTCCTTCAGTCAGTTCTTACTCTAGTGACCTCACGTACAACAGAACAAAGCTGCCCGATATCATCAGTCAAACATGGTCTCAGGGGCCAACTGCGGAACAGACTATCAATTGCTCTTGTGCCAGTTTAAGTGGAAGAAGAAAAACATTAGCATTAAGTTCACAGCAGACAAAGTCTGACCTTGAGTCTATCCCAGCTGAATTTAGAGCCTGTCTCAGGAACAGACTTGATGCACTGGACACAAATGACTGAAGACAAGTTAAGGGCTGACAGCAAGAGGAGCAGAGACAAAGAAAGCAAAAGGTCATGAAAAAGATAGAAAGGAAAAAAAAGACCCAAACTGATGTCAGAAGAAACTAAAATTTGCTGTTCTTAAACACAGCACAACTAAAGTGAACGAAAGCAATGAAGTAAAAGAACTAACCAGAAGATTTCACAGGGCAGCCTGCGAAGTCAGAGTAAAACGGTATAATGAAATGCAGAAAGACCTGGAGCTTAAAAATCAAAAGGGAAGAACATACATGTTCAGCATTTCACAAGCTGAAAGAACTGAAGAAAAACAATGTTTCAACGTGAAATACTGAAGGATTCTATAAGCAAAACCTTGAACAATGCTTGTTGTGGTTGTTAAGTACCGTGGAGTCGGTTCCGACTCATAGTGACCCTGGACAGGGTTTTCCGAAGCTGTAAATCTTTATAGGAGCAGGAATCCTCATCTTTCTCCCGCCGAACAGCTGAGCTGGTAGTTTCGAACTGCCGACCCTGAAGTTAGCAGCCTGATTTGTGACCACTATATTACCACAGCTCCTTTGAACAATGCAGGACGCATCAAAAAGAAATGGAAGGAATTCGTGAAGTCACTATACAAAACGAACTGGCACATTTCCAGAGGTAGCATACGGTCATGAATTGATGGTATTGAAGGGAAAAATACAAGTTGCACTAAAGGCTCCAGGAATTGACGTTGACCACTTGAAATGTTTCTACAAATGGGCGCAATGTTTGAAGCACTCACTGTTCTGTGCCAAGAAATCTGGAAGACAGCTACCTGGCGAAACTGACTGGAAGAGTGCCTATTCCAAAAAGATGTGACCAAAAAGAAAGTTAAAATTATCAAACAATATCATTAATATAACATGCAAGTAAAAATATGCTGAAGATAATTCAACATAGTTGCAGCAGTATATTGACAAGGAGCGGCCAGAAATTCAGGCTGGATTCCGAACAGGATAAGAAAGAAGCGAGGGCTATCATTACTGATGTCAGAAGGATCTTAGATGAAAGCAGAGCATTCCAAAAAGATGATTTACTGACTACACAAAAGCATTTGACTATGTGGTTCATAACAAATTATGGGAATTCCAGAACACTTAATTATACTCATGTGGAACCTGTCCACAGACCAAGAGACAGGCCTTAGAAAAGAGCCAGGTAGAGGAAACCTTGTGGTTTGGAATTAGAGAGTGCACAGAGCTGTGTCCTTTCATTATACTTACTCAATATGTACACAGAACAAATAAGCTGAGATGCTGGACTACATGAGGACCACAGACAGCACCAGAATTGGAGGAAGATTCATTAACAACCTGCAGTATGCAGATGACAGACCTTTGCTTGCTAGAAGTGAAGCGGACTTGCAGCACTTACTGATGAAGACCAAAAGCTATAGCCTTCAAGTATGGATTATATCTTAATTTAAAGAAAACAGAAATCCTCACAACTGGACCAATAAGCAACATCACGATAAATACAGAAAAGAATGAAGTTGTCAAGAATTTCCTTTGACTTGAATCTGCAATCAACACCCACAGAAGCAGCACTAAAGACATGAAATGACATAAAGCATGAGACAAATCAGCTGCAAAAGACTTCTCAAAAGCATTAAAAAGCAAACGTATCACCTTGAGAACTACAGTGCACCCGATCCACGCCATGGCCTTTTTAATCACCTCATGTGCATGCAAAAGCTGGACAATGGATAAGGAAAACCAATGAAGACCTGATGTCTTTGAATGATGGTGTTGGTGAAGAACCAATGAATCCATCTTGGAAGTACAGCTGGAATGCTCCTAAGGAATGAGGCTGGCCAGATTTTGTCTCCTGTATTTGGACATGTTATCAGGAGGGTACAGTCCCTATAGATGGACATCATGCTTGATAAACAGCCAGACAACAAAAATTCACTGCAAAACTACCATATGCCAGGCACCTACAGAGTAGTCAATAATCCCTGCCCATCTCACTTTGAAACAAAACTTGTCCTTGAGGTGGTGGCCTGCCATCAACCCAGTCTATTCCAACTCACAATGACCCTATATGACAGAGCAGGGTTTCCAAAGCTAACTGCCACATCTTTCTCCCGAAGACTGGCTGGGGGGTTCCAACTGCCCGCCTCTCATTTAGCCACAGTGCTACCAGGACTGCCTCTAAAAGCTATCAGGTACCAGGAGATGGAAACATACATGAAACCCCTCAAATCCCTGCTGTCCATGTCAATTCTGGAGCCTTCTGTACATGATCAGACATACAAGTTACAAAGCAACCTTACAAGTCCTAGAATAATAAAATGCATTTTCACAACGCTTGCTAGGTGTCAAGCATGATTCTAAACACTTTATGTACATTAACCCATCCTCACAACAAGTGCCTGCAGAGGTATCATTTACAGGCCTGTCCCTCATGGACTGTGAGCCATAGAGGACAGGGCTTCGGGCTGGTGAGACTCTCAGTCCATGCAGATGCCCGGGAGGAGTGGCTGAAAGCTTGGGACGTAAAAATGCTTTGCAATTTCTTCAGGGAAGGGGTTCCCTTCTCTGCTCATTCCCCTCCTTTGGGTCAATAGGGGAGGGTTGAGACGCGGATGGAGCACAGGGATGGGGAACTGGAACCCTGATGAGATGGGAAAACGTGAACCAACAGGAAAGCCGGTGCAAGGCAGGACAGAGACCTGGATGTGGGGACAGAGACCCTGCTGCCACCCCACGCTGCCACCTTGGAACCTTCGCCAACACTCCCCGGGCCTCCCTTCCTCATCTGAGAAACCGGCTCCTTTATTTGGGCTTCGGGAAATTTTAAGAGGCTAAAGCGAGATCATGAACTTGGAGGCACCGTTGTAAACCACTAGAGAGGCCTTATAAACAAGCGCTGTTTTTGATTCCTTTAGCCCGGGCCCGGGAGACCTGGCTTCCAGGCCCATCTCTGCCTCGAACTCCCAGTGTGACCTTCGCCAACTGCAGAGGCTCCGACTACCCAGCGCGACCTCGGACAGCATCCAGGGCAACGTGGTACGATGGGGAAACTGAGGCCCGGAGAAGGGTCGCGGCCTGAGTTCGATCGCAAAACTGATCGCGGGCGGCCGACGCCACATCTGCGTCGCCTGCACCCGCTCTCTCTGCGTCCAGGCCTCCATAAACGAGACAATAAATCTGGGGTGCTATGTAAACTGCGGAGCCCTGCGCAAAGGCACCCGACGCCGTGGCGGAGAGGGCCCCGGAGTTGACAGGTCGCCGTTCTGTCACCCGGGCGCCCCGTTCCTGCTTCCTTCAAATCCCGGGGTCGCAGCAGCTTGCGCGATCTCCCGCTCAGCTCTCCGGCCTCCGGTGACCCGCGAACGGTCGCAGCCACTACTCACTGGAGCAGATGAGGGACATGGCGCCGTCACTGCGCTCCGGGAAGCCTCACACCGGGCTCCGGAGCCGCCGCGGGGCACTTCCGGTTCCCCGCTGTTTCCGAGACGCTCCGCAGTGAGCGGGGAGCAGCCCCGCAGAGCAATAATCGCGTAGCACTTCACGTGGGAATGAGGCAGGTCGCGCGCTGCAGGCTTCTGCACCTAACGGAAACTGCCCTTTCCCAGAATGCAACCGGGCAGGAAAGGGCCCGCCACAGAACACTCGGCTATTTCCGGAGTGACTCGTCTCCTTCCGTAAAACGCTCAGAGAAGAAGCTGTCTGAAACTACATTTCCCATGATGCAGCAAGTCAAAGCGTTCTTGCAGCCCTCAAGACAGCTAGTCGTCTTTGATTTTCAAACTTGGTTGTTAGTAAGTGCAGTCGAGTCGGTTTCGACTCATAGCGTTCCTGTATAGGGTTTCCGAGGAGCGGCTGGAGAGTTTGAACTGCCAACCTTGCGTTTCAAACTGACCTTGTGGACCAGTGTTTATCCTATAACGGCCACACAAACTTAACTGTGCGCAAAGTCTCGTAAACAGCTTGTAAAAATGCAGATTTCTGAGATCTGCCCTAGAGCGTATGCATTTTTAGTACGTGGCCACGTGACGGAAGCAGGTGTTTCTGGGCCACCCTTTATGAAAAACAAGTGCTGGGGGGTCTTTGTAGAAAGTGCAGATGAAGAGAGGATTTACAAACTGTTCTAGCCCTACACCTGCTGCCAATTTGCTCTGTGACCTTGGACAAGTCACGGGTTTCTCTGCCATTTTTTTGTTTTTGATGTATACATCTTTTTTTTTTTCTTTCAACTTTTTATTGTGAATTAAGTGAAGGTTTACAGAGCATAACATCAATTTTACATTCAAGGAATCATATCCTTTGCTTCTTTTTATAGTTACAATCCCCTCCAAGTACCAACAGTTAACAGTATTTACCTCTATTCACTTTAACTATCGTATTCCTCCATATCCCCTAATACCTTCATTTTTCCTCTGTTAACCTTCCTCTGCTAACCTGCATTGTCACCCAAATTAATATCTTCCCTCCCCACGGCCCATTGAGGAAACACAAGATTGCTTCTTTTTATCAAGAAAATCTTTGTTTTTGTTTTTTTAAGTTTTTACAATATTGGTCTCATACAATATTTGTCCTTTTGTGTGACCGCAAGGTTGATTTGAGCCACAAGGTGGGCAGTTCAAACTCACCAGCTGCTCTTGGGAAAACCATTCTTTTGTTTATGAGTGTTTATCCAATAAGATCCAATACAGTAAGATAAGACAATAGGATCCTGCAATATGGTGTCTATGAGACATAGCGAAAAGCTGGAGACAGAGTAAACGCTCTGGTAGTGTAGTGGTTACGAATCGGGCTGACGAATCGGGCTGCGAACCTTAAGGCCAGCAGTTCGAAACTACCAGCCGTTCCGCGGGAGAAAGATGAGGCTTTCTGCTCCCGTAAAGATTTACTGCCTCGGAAGGTCGCTATGGGTCGGAACCGACTCGAAGGCACTTAACAACAATCGTCTTATCCATTCTGCTCTTTATGACTCTTGACCAGTACATTTAATCCATTTACTCTCAGTGTGATTATCAATAGGTCTGAATTGATTTCTGTCATTGTTCTGTGTTTTGTATGTGTGTGGTGCTGCTGGATTCTTTGCTCCACATAATTTTCTATTCTGAGTTCGTTTTATATGTGGGTTTTCTTTTCATTTTGATTTCTGTTGTGTTAATGTTTACTACCATTACCAAGAACCAATAGATCCGTTTTGGAAGAAGTGCAGCCAGAATGCTTCTTGAAGGCCAAGATGACCAAACTTTGTCTCTCCTACTTCAGACATATTGTCAGGAGGGAGCAGTCGCTGGAGAAGGATATCATGTTTTGTAAGGTTGAGGGTCAAAGAAAAAAGGAAGACCCCCAACAAGATGGAGTGACCAAGTGGCAGCATCGATGGACTCAAGCGTGGCAACAATAGTGAGGTTGGCCCAGGATCGGGCAGTGTTTCATTCTGCTGAGCATAGGGTCGCTATGGGTCGGTAACAACTCGATGACACTTAACAACAACAACAACGTTTACTAAATCTTTCTGACTTTTCTTTTTTTATTTTGATGTGAAGTTATATTGTTTTTCATTGAGATTACCTTGCAATTTATAAATTTTTACCCTGCTTAAAACAGTCTGTTTTACCTTGAAATCTACTTGACTTCCTTGCCATTTGGAAGTTCTGTATCTACACTATTCCCTTTTTTTTTTTTGCTTTGTAGTTGACTTCGTTATATATTATCTCTGATTCCCTATTTTCAGTCTTGTAGGTTTGTTTTACTTTAAATGCTTCTCTATCTGGACTAGTTCTGGGTGGTATTGTCTGTCAGGTATGGTAAATTCAGGTTGTTATCTGCTAGTGTTTATTCTCAGTCCAAATAACATCTTTTAGCAATTTTTGTAATGTTTGATCATTACAATTTCCTTTCATTTCTGTTTATCAGGACATGTCCTAATTCTGCGATTATATTTGAGGAAAAGCTTTGCTGGGTATATGAATCTTGGTTGGCAACTTTTTTCTTTCAGAGTTTTGTCTTGCCTGCATAGTTTCTGCTGAGAAATCAGAGATTAAAATTCTTGGTCCTCTTTGTAGATAATGTTTTGTTTTTACTGAGTTGCTCTCAGGATTCTGTCCTTGTCTTTGATTTTGGAGAGTTTGACTATGATATGTCTTGGTGATTTTCTTCCAGGATCTCTCCTGTTTGGCATTCGTTCAGCTTCTTGTATGCATATCTTCTCGTCTTTCAAGGTGTTAGTTTAGGGTGGTTTTCTTCAGCAACTCTTTGGCAATTTTCTCTGTGCTTTTCATTGCCATCCTGTTCTAGAATTTCAATCACGTGTTAGTTGTTTCTCTTCATGGTATCCCACATAATTCTTAGGCTATCTTTGGATTTTTTTCATTTTTTCTGATTGTTCTTCTAGCATACTAGTATTGAGAAATTTATCTTCAAGTTCACTAATTCAGGCTTCCATTGCTTCAGATCTGCTCCTTTTCCCTTTCTATGTATTGTCCATTTCTGAAATCTTAGTATTAATCTTCTGGAGTTCTAATTGCAGGTTTTTTATTGTTTCCAAACTTGCATTAATTTTATGTTTCTTCTTGTAGTGTTTTCCTGAATTCTTCTAAAGTTTTTCCTATGTTATGGTTTTTCTCAATCTTTCTGTCAATCATTGAAGGTACCAAAATATCGTTTGTTTGTTTTTTAATTCTTTTTCAGTTAGTTCCATTACCTTTTTTTTTTTCCTTAGAAATGTTTCTGTCTCTGCATCGTGGTCATTTGTTTGAGCTATTGTCTCTTGTTTCTTCACATGAGCTAAAATCATCTGTTGTCTCCGGGGCATTGTGGGATTTTGTCATATTTGTAAAAACAAACAATGCAGTTGTTGAACCCGGAGGGGAGAAATGTCTGGTGGGATCCTGCAATTTAAGGAGCTCATGAAGTGGTTGTGGAAGGGATGTGACAGCAGAGTTCCTGGCCCTAGATGGAGTTCCTAGTGACCTCAGTGTTATCTATGTTCAGGGCACTCAATACAGAAGTAGTTCATAGGGGTGCTTGATGGAGCTGGTTCAGTGTCTATTAGGACTACTGGAAGCTGGGGGAAGCACAACTGGTTAAATGCTGGTCTGGTGGCTCTGCGGGTTCTGTAAGTCTGAATCCAGACCAAAGTGACACACCAAAGTGGCATAGCTCACACTGCTGTAGTTGTCAACCATGTGGTTCCTAACTCTTGGGAATGGATGAGAGTGGGGAATGGCCTCACATTTTGTCACCAGGGAAGCGTGGGGGAAAACCGAATCACACCATCCCTATCACCTACACGAATCTGCTCTGCCAGGCCTCCCTCTGCTGCCAGAACTGCTCATAAGAGGGTCAGTCCATGTCTGGCCAGATGTTCACTGGTCAATCTCCTTCTCTCACCATCCCTGCTTGGCCTCTCCTCCCAGCAAGCACTCCATCCACCTCTCTTAACTTTCTTCTGAAGTTCAGGGTGCCAGAATTTTCATCTGGGTCTGTTTTATTTGGTCTCCCATATCTTTGTTGTCTCTCTGCTGGTTTTGTATATGACTTTTAGGTCACTCCCAGCTCAAACAGAATACGGTTTTTTGTGGATTTCTGTGAGCTAAGATACACTCAAGAATTATGTAGAGAACATGCTCCATTTCATGTGTGGGCTACAAGGGATCCAGACAAGGAAGATAGCGGGACGGATAGGCGTGGTCAATGGAGTCTTCTCTGAAAAGGGACAGATGATCTGTGCTTTGACAGGTGAGTAATATTCAGAGAGGAGAAGGAAGTGAAGGGCATTCTAGGAGGAGCAACAGCTTAAGCAAAGGCTTTGAGAAAAGAACAAAAGTTGCAGGTACTGAACAGTATGGTGGAGTGGCCAAAAGCATGGACCCTGAAGTCAGACTGTGCTTACTTTCCAGCTCCATCCAGCTAGTATGCCATGTGAATTTCTCTAAGCTGTAATTTCCTCATCTGTAAAATCAGGAGCGTGATAACAAGGGTAGAACTAACTCACAGGAGTTATGTGTGTGTATGTGTGTGTAATGAGTTAATATGCAAACCACACTTTGAACTAACCTGGAACATAGCAAGTACAATACATGTATTTACGTTTGTCATTATTTCAAAAGCCCTAGCTACCATGGTGACAGAAGTTCTCCCCTGTACCCATAAATAGCTTCCTAATTGGTCTTGCTTCCAGCCTGGTCTCCCTCTGATCCACTTTCCACAAAACCCCCAGTGATCTGCATTCAATGAAAAACCTATTTATGCTGCTCCCCAGGCCCTTCATTCAGTTCACAGATATTGATTGGGGCATGTCAGGCAGATACAAATGAATGAACAAGAATGATAAGGCTTCTGCTCTCTTGGATCTTTAATTTTGTTTAATCAACACATGAAAAGAAAAATTTCAGAGTAATTGCTGTTCTTGGTTGCGTCTTAGTTCTCTAGTATTGCAGTAACAGAAATACCACACATGGATGGCTGGGATAGAAACTTATCCTCTCACAGTTTAGGAGGTTGTTGCTGTTATGTGCCATCAAGCTGGTTCTGACTCACAGTGACCCTGTATAGAGTTTCTGAAGCTGCAAATCTTTGTGGGAGAAGAAAACCTCATCTTTCTCTGT